TTAAGAGCAGTCATGCTGCAGGAGAGAGTAGGAAATGGGAACTAGATGGAAACTTTTAAACGCCCAAACCTCAGCCTGTGGAAACTGCAGCTCCTTTGAATGCACTGAAGCTATGGCACGTAACTGATGGTGGGGCCCTGGAGGCTGATGCTGTTTCGGAAGCACAGTTTTTCGCTTTCTCTGTTTCAATTTATAATGTTAACAAATTGTGGTTTCGTTTCTTTACCTCCTTTGATCTTGGAGAAGACCAAGGTTTCTCCCCAGCAATAAAATGATTTATATGAGAAATGCTGTATGCCGTGGAGATCTCTTGGGCTGATACCTGTTTGTTGCTGGTGTCTGCTGTGTTCTGCTCTCTCTCATGCGTTGACTGTGCTGCTGCTTATACCCAAATCTGGTTAACAGCGGGGAGAAGGCACGTGGCGTTGTTCCTCACCCTGTCCTGAGTGCCCTGGCTGCAAGGGGAACAGTTGGCAGAGAGGTCAAGTTTCTTTGTCAGCTGGGAACTTGTGGGTCCTTCCTTCCTCCCCCCACCTCCTCCCAAAAAAGTCACCTAGCCAGGTGGCAGCGGATGGTAACCTCCTGCCTGCCGGGACAGCAGGAAATGGCTTAGAGCGGAGGAGATGCCAGCCCACATCTCCTCGGGAGATCTTTCTGCAGGGACATTTTTCCTGTGGGTAGAAATTTGCTCCTGAATGCTGCAGGCACTTGTACCGTTCTCAGAACGGATGTGCACAAAAGTGACATTTGAGAAGTCTTGAGCCTGGTCACGTTCTCGTGGCACCTAAAGATTTTTCACTAGAGACCAGGGCAACCTGAAAATTTCTAGTGCTGCTGTTCAGCTGTTTCTGCTATTGGAGTCAAGTGCAGAGGGTAACGTATTTAGAATGGTAAATATGTGGTTAGGTTCCATTCTTAAAGATAGCTGGAGGAGCCTTTCCCCTAGTTATATGTTTTTGAAAACAGTATTTCTAAAAGTGATACCAAAAAGATTTATTTTCCAGTTACAAGGCTTGCTTCCTTCCTAGGACTGTTTTGACAGTACAATATTCCCAGCCAAAAGCTTTTTGAAAAAAAGGTTTAAATTCAGAATTAGTTACAGTAATTTAAAGTAAAATATATTGTTTATCTGAAAACAAAGGTTTGTATGTACACAGAGGAGTCAGGGGCGGGGGGCTTGCCTGGGGTTTTTGGTTTTGCTGTTATTGCCAGACTCACTGATCTAAGCACGGAGCGGTCTGTCTGTACGAGGTGGTGGAGTAGGTGCTGAGAGCTGCTTTGAGCAGACCACTTCTGAATTTTGTTTTTCATATTCCCTGTATTCTTCCCGTGTCTCCCGAGCTGCGTCTCGTAGCCTTTACCTTTCCTCCTCTCACTCCCATTGTCATTTGTTCGTATTGATCTCCAGTTACCTCTCGTATGCTCCTTGCTGCAGGTGTGACAATATTTTTTTACGTAGCAAATATAAACTGTGGGTTTACTTTTTTCCTGTTTCTTCGTTCTGAAATGTTATTTTTCAGCAGAGTGTGTGTGTCTCTTCCAAGAAAAGCTGTCTAGTTGGAGGCTGGTAACAAGTGGTGTCCCCCAGGGGTGAGTACTGGGCCCAGTCTTGTTTAACTTCTTCATCAACGACCTGGATGAAGAGTTAGAATGTACCCTCAGCAAGTTTGCTGATGACACCAAACTGGGAGGTGTGGTAGACACACCGGAAGGCTGTGCTGCCATTCAGCGTGACCTGGATAGGCTGGAAAGCTGGGCAGAGAGGAACCTGATGAGGTTCAACAAGGGCAAGTGCAGGGTCCTGCACCTGGGGAGGAACAACCTCATGCACCAGTACAGGCTTGGGGTGGACCTGCTGGAGAGCAGAGAGGGACCTGGGTGTCCTGGTGGACGACAGGTTAACCATGAGCCAGCAGTGTGCCCTGGCTGCCAAGAAAGCCAATGGGATCCTGGGGTGCATCAAGAAGAGTGTGGCCAGCAGGACAAGGGAGGTTCTCCTTCCCCTCTACACTACCCTGGTGAGGCCTCATCTGGAGTACTGTGTCCAGTTCTGGGCTCCCCAGTTCAAGAAGGATGAAGAGCTACTGGAGAGAGTCCAGCGGAGGGCTACAAGGATGGTGAGGGGACTGGAGCAGCTCCACTACGAGGAGAGGTTGAGGGAACTGGGCTTGTTCAGCCTGAAGAAGAGAAGGCTGCAAGGGGACCTTATAAATGCCTACAAATATCTGAAGGGTGGGTGTCAGGAGGATGGGGCCAAGCTCTTTTCAGTGGTGCCCAGTGACAGGACAAGGGGCAATGGGCACAAACTGAGGCACAGGAAGTTCCGTCTGAACATGAGGAAGAACTTCTTCCCTCTGAGGGTGACGGAGCACTGGAACAGGCTGCCCAGGGAGGTTGTGGAGTCTCCTTCTCTGGAGATATTCAAGACCCGCCTGGACAAGGTCCTGTGCAGCCTGCTGTAGGTGACCCTGCTTCGGCAGGAGGGTTAGACTAGGCGACCCACAGAGGTCCCTTCCAACCCCTACGATTCTGTGATTCTGTGAAAAACTTCATTCCTCAAAACTATGCTTTGTCTGTGGCTTTCAAACAGATGGAGTCTACTAGCTACCCCAGTAAAGGTTCCATTTTCCAAAACAGCCATCGCCTTTTCCGAAATGTGATGGCCCTCAGGCTTGATGGTAAGGAGCAGAGGAGTGGAAGCAGTTCTTGGTAAGGATGGGTGGTGGCCTGCCACCCTGAGGGAACATGCAGGATGGAGCTGCTCTGAAAAAAGGGCGGCTGGCTCTATCAAGAATATGTAACTATTCATTTATTTAACACCTGTATAAACAATAATGTTATTAATTAACCATACTGGTGTCTGGAATTGCTCTGTCTCTATGCTGTTTGCAGTAATCCTTTAATCACAGAACACCTGAATATTGAAGCACGAATTCTTGATGAGGTTAGAGTATATTTGATTGAATACTACGCTGTTAGGCCACACCAGGTGGATCTGAGCACATGCCATTTAAAATCAATAGCAAAGTTTCATCACTTCTCTGCTGTATTTTTTTTTTTTCCTAGGAAAAAACCCTCCTCAGTTTTGATGAGCTTTAAAGCCGTAGGTAATTTTATTCCCCCTATGTCAGATTAATTCTAGCTATATATTTTCCAGTAGCCAAGACTGATGGGCTTAGTATAGTTACATATATAGTAATTTGTAGCTACAGTAGTCATGTAGAAGGAGACGGGTTGCCGGGAAAGGGTTAAGAAACCAGAATTTTTGTACCGTAGTGCTGGCCAAGTACAGGAGACTGTTCTGGAGTTTGGGATAGCAGAGGTGGGATGGGTGCTGCGAATCCGTAATGCCTCCTCAAGGGCTGCTGCTATTGACTTAGCTAAAAACCATTGAACACCCACTTTGCCTTTTCTGGTCATAAACCTTTTCAGAGCAGATATGAAGTCTGCCTCACTACGTTTTGTTGTCAAAGTGCTGCTTTTCCATCCTTGAGGTTTCCATAGCAACCTGGGCCATTTGTTTAAATTGGCGCTCACTGGCCTGTCCTCCCCGCACGGAACTTCTGCTGAGATCTTGCAGGCATCATCTCTTCTTGGCGTGCCTGCGAGTGAGTCGTAAGGGTTATGCAGGGGCTGGGCCGCGGCTGGCCCTGAGAGCGCTGGCCCTTCCCCTGGGGCCATTCGCTCCGCAGGATGACAGATGCCTGCGCTAGCCCCTGTTGCCCTGTCTGATTTGCCTTCTTCTTCTGTGTGATGTTCAGTACGGCTTTGTGGAGTTACTGCGAGCTCCCTGGAAGAATTAGCTGGCAGGTCTGTGGTGGCTCACGCTGGGAAGGCAGGTCGCGGGAGAGCTAGGAGGCCTTGTAAGTGGAGAAGGTGGGGACCGTATTGAGGAATTTTAATTGGAATAAGGAGCAAGGCAGTCTATCCACACGGCTTCCATTGTTTGGTTTAGGTTCACTGGTGCTCAGATCACTCGGGAGGTTTTGCTGGCTGAGCAACACCTGAAGCAGAGTCTTCATATCACAGGGGACCGTCCGTGCAGGGGTGCTCACGGGATCCAGAGTGACGCCCAGCCGAAAGTTGTTTCTGCCTGGAGCTGTGTGTGCAGCTGCTTTGCTATTCACATGAGGGTGTCTGGTTTTTCTGGTCCCACGCTGATGAGTGGACTGACATCATGGGCGATCTCCAAGTTACCTCTGCCAGTCCCCTGCCCCTGGGCGTGTGTTTCCAGCGATGCCCTTGTGCCGGGGCAGCCTGCTGGGCAGCCCTGCAGCGGCTGACCCTGGGCAGTAAGCTGGCCGAGCATGGCCCCTGAAAGCAGAAAAGAGCAGAAAATGGGCCACTTGGCAGGAGCCCCAGGCTAGAGAGAGCCCCAGCATTGCATGGGATGGGGGAGTCCTGGCTGTGACTCGTTGCTGGCCATGGCATCCCCGTCATCGTTAGGGAGGGGTGTGGGAGGACTCCTGGCCCTGAAGAGCTTACAATTCAGAGATCAAAAGATGAAGCAGGAGTTACTTGCCAGAAGGCGTGCCAGCCTAGACAGACAATTGCACTCCCAGTTCAGTGCCCAGTTTGTTAGGCTGCAGAGCTTACGTGGTTCCCAGTATCCCCTCTCCCCAGGTCCTGCTTGCTGGAGGCAGATCTGTGCGGGCTTTCTGCACTGTGCCGAGGAGGAGACAGCCTGCCCGACCAGCGTGGCATGCCTTTACCTTGAAATGGCTGGGGGGGCATGGGAGGGAGGGGAGCCACAGGACGCACGCTCCTCGATTATTTGGGAGAAGCAAGTAGGAGTGATGGCAGAGGGATTTAAAGTTGCCCGGTGGCGGTGGTTTCTGTCGGGACGTGGAGGGTGGCTGGAGGCTCCCTGGGTCACGCGGCCGGGATGCGGCACCAGTACCCAGCACAGCGGAGGGGAAGCTGTGGGCACGCCGGTCGGAAGGGCCTGACAGACTGAGCGTAAGGCAACATTGGCCAAAATCTGCGCTTCCCCAGCGGCGATGGAGCCATCGCAGCTTGTGCCAGAGGAGAGTTTGCTTCCCTGGGGACGGGCTAGCAAGCCAGCACAAAAATGTCCTCCCTGGCCTCAGGGCAAGGAGAGTGGTGGAGCGAGGCTCTTCGGGCTGGATGCAGGACACAGCACCTGGGTGCTGCAGCAGAAGGCACAGGTAGAATGAAATGGCCGGAGCGCTGGCAGCTTCGCTGTAGCCTCCTTGCATTTTGCACTGAGCAGTCTTCCCTTCGGCCTGCTCATAGGTGCGCTCCTGGCTTCGCTTCCCTTGCAGAGGCTGAAGCGGCTCTATTTTATCTTAGGAAAGCTTCCTCCCGGCATTACAAAGATCATTCCTCAGCTTTGAGTGCTGTGGGCTTTCATCTGACAGGGGTGGGGTTGTACTCTTTTTCTTTCTGCTTGTCAGCATTAGCGGCACGCTGGATCCCCTCCGCAAGCGTCTTGGTGTAACCCTGCAGCCGGCAAGTAGGACCAGGCAGCCGCTCGCTCGCTCCTCCCGCAGCTCCTGCACTGGGATGGGGAGCAGAATGGGAAAAAAGTAAAACTCGTGGGCTGAGATAAAGACAGTTGAATAAGACAACGAAAGGAAGGAATGGTAATAATAGAATACGCAAAACAAGTGACACACAATAGAATTTTTCTCACCACCCAACGACCGATTGCGCAGCCGGTCCCTGAGCAGCAGTCACAGAACTGGCGGGTTTCGCTGAGCTTGCTGAGCTCGGGGAGCCAGACGAACTCACGGAAAAGTCAAACTCATGGAAGAAGTTCTTGCCCCCCAGCCAACCCCCATTCCTAAACTGAGCACGATGCCTACGGTGTGGAATATTTCCGCTGGCCGGCTGGGGCTGGCTGCCCAGCTGTGCTCCCCCCCAGCTCCTGCACACCTGCTCACTGGCTGACTATGAGAAACTGGAAAAAGTCCTTGATTTCATAGCAACAACCAAAGACATCAGTGTATTATCAACACTCTTCTCGTACTAAATCCAAAACACAGCAGCTACTGGGAAGAAAATTAACTCTGTCCCAGCCAAAACCAGGACAGCAAGCCAGGGTGTTGGTTGCTGGAACCAATGTCTCTCACCTGTTTACTGATGTGGTTGTAGTAATTTTTGTCTAAAGTCCCCGAAAAGGTTTAGGGACTGAGTAAAAAACGATCTGCAGGATTTTGTTACTTGAAGCCTGAGAGTTCATTGTCAAGAAACTTCTGTTTAATCTCTAGACTACAGTTGATTTCTTTTTTGATTACTTAAGAATAGGCTTAGAAAGAGAGGAAAAACGAAAATTTATTCTGCTGAAATACTTGGATGCTCTGCAGTGTTTTTAGCTGCAGAAGAAAGTGGAAGATAAAATCCTCCAGAAGTGCTAAGATCCAGTTTGTGGCACCAACTTAAGATTTTTGATCTCTGCTCGCATGGGAGAGGTTTCCCTTTTTCCCAGCCTGCAGAGCAGCCAGAGCCTCTGCGGCCGTGCTGTCTGCTGGTCAGCCCTGCCCTGCGAGTTCTGAGATCCGTGGGCACTCTTGTTCAGATCTGAGAGAGGACAGGAAAAGTCTCAGACATAATCCAGTTTCTTCAGCTCTTGCAAAAATCAGCAGCTGGGTACAGAATAGAAACCAAGACAAGCGTCCTGCGCTCAGGCAGCCGTGGGTCATGCTGGGCCTCCCCGACGAGGAGTGGGGGAATCCTCCTCTCCTCGCTCCCTGCTCCTGCAGCTGGCACGTTGCCTGGGAGGCAGCACCCCACGCATGGCCATCGACACCGGCCCGGCCACCACCTTGGCAGGGACCACGCGGAGAGACACAAACTCCTGGGATTCATCAGCAAAGTTCTCCCCTGCACACAGAAAGGCCTCTTCCCCCCCCCCCCCCCAACTTTATTTTTTTAATTTATTTTGTGGGGCAAAACATTTTTTTCAAGGTTTTGAGACAGGATGTGTTTTATTCATTGCAAAAGGTATTATTGAACTAGAAATCCTAATTTCTGTGCTGCTTCATTGGTAGGATCACAGAAACAGCTACTCATAGCAATACCTCGACAGATAAAGGAGGTTAGAGGTTCATTTTAATCCAAGTGGCAGCAGCTTGTACCAGCAGGAAAATTCAAAGCAGTCAGTCTCTTGATTTGTTAAAAGTATGGGTTTCTTTTTTAAACAGCTGAGTCTTCTGCAATCGCTGGTCTCCAGTTGTCTAAACCACAGTTTTATCTTGTCTCCTCACGGCACCGTGTGCTGATACGTCAGTAGGAGCGCTGGGAGAAGCTGCCATCCCTTCTGACGCCCGTCAGGCCAAACAAGGGAAATTTAATGTAGCCGTTTTCGTCAGGGAACATTTTGATCTCTTTGAAAACAAAGAGTTTTATTACTACATTTATTGTTAGTGGTGTGATGACAGCCAAATGCTGTTATCCTGTGACGTGCTACTGAAACACTGACTTCTCACTTCAGCTATCACTTTACAATGAAAACAATTCAATACAGAAAATAACATATTTCTGTGAGGAGCATTAATACATTTAAACATTTTGGTCAGTACTTTGCCCTAATGGCAGTGGCCAGGTGCTTGATGGGATTTATTGCAGCTCATAAAAAGTCAGGCCAGACTGAAGGTGAGGGGGTACGAGCTTTGCATACATCCGCTTTGCATTAACTGTGTTGTGTCATGAGCTCCTCGCAAGTATTAGGGAGTGTTTGTCACAACCCACAGCCATGCTGCAGCTCCATCCTCGCCTTGCAGCGCTGGCTGCTGCCCTTGGGGGAGATGGTCCTGCTCCCCAGCTGGCAGGGAGAAGTGATGTCTGAAGAGAGCGAGTGCTGCGTACCCTGTGGGCAGCGTGCCGTGCGGCCCCTGGCTGGGTTCTCCATCCTGGGCATCGACCCCAGGAACTGTCCCTTGCTCTTGTTACTCCAGCCTTGGTTCTGCTCTTGACTGGCCTGCATGGCCCCACCGTTCCTACTGCTCTCTCGTCCACGCTCCTGCCTTTGGCTGGCTCTTCTGCTTCTGGGGGTTCCTCATTTCAACCTGTCCTTCCTACCAAACTTGACTTTGATCTTTACAGTCTTCTTTTTAAAGCGGCCCAAGCCTGACCTGACTGACCTTGGCCAAGTTACAGCAGCACTCTTCTCGCACACCTCGCTGGGAAGCTGGAACGTGGGTTCGGTGACGTTCACTGCAGTGAAAATCTGTGGCAGGGTTAAACCTCCAGTGTGCTGGGCCTGCGGCCGCACCGCTGAAATGATTCAGCAGTGCACTGACTTCTGTTTTATAAATACATATATAGATTGTGTAGTTATACTTCATGGAGGTAACAATGCTCAGACTTCGTATGGCTGGCGCTGTGCAGTGGAATACCTGCCCTTCCAGGTCAGTTCCCAGGTGGCCAGAGGCGCCGTCGGGGACGGTGACCACCACGCATCCCTGTGCCCATAAGCACCGCTGGGCTCCTGGGCCTGGGCTCACCGGTCGTGGCTGAGGCAGAGGGAGCAGGAGCCGCAGCTACAGGACAGGGAAGAGGAGGAGCCAGGTTTCACGGATGGGCTGAGGAAGGGAGGATCGTGGGATGAAGCTATGCGTAGAAAGAAAAGGTTGGGAATCAGCAACTCAGCTAAATTTCACATACTTATTGCTTTGGGTTGACTCGGCAAGAATTTTTTCAGCTAAAATGGCCAAGTTATATATAAAGATGAGACAAACTTTTTCTCTTAAAAAGTTATTTTGTCTAGAGAGGTGTCTTAAAACCTCAGTAAGTGGCAAGGTGGCACCATTTCTGTGGCAGATTGCCTGGGGAGATGTAAAAATCCTTCCAGCGCACCCATAATTCATGCTCTGAACACATCCAGTTTGGAGCATCCCTCAGAGAACTTGCCCGTCCTAGCAACTCCCTGGTACGTCAGCAAGAGCTTCCTCGTGGAAGGGGCTTGTAGAAATAATTTTTCATAAGCTGCCTGCAAACACCCCAGGAGGGACCTGAGCCTCCCGGTGCCGCCGACTGGTGCCTTGCTGGATGTTTCTGCCCTGCAAGCTACGGCAAGCGCCGCAGGGGAGTCTTCTCATGCCTTCCTGCCCAAGGCTGCTCCCTCGTCTCATGATGCCAGGGACAGAAATCGAGGTGCGAGGGAGAGCCCTGGCCTGCGGGAGGCTGGAGTCCGGGTGTGCCGTAGAACAAGCCCGACCTTCTCTTGCCTACGGAGATTCCCAGTCCTGCAGCTAGATCCCTCCAACGCCGGCCTGCTGCAGAGGGCAGGAGGCACTTGCCTATCGCTCGGCAGGGAGGGCGCCGCTCGGCGTGGCCCGGGGAACGTGAGGCATCTGCCTTTAGGAAAGTACTTCAAGGGACACGCCAAGCATTTAGAACTCTGGCTGTGCCTCTCTCCATTGTCGTGTGATCCTCGCTGTAGGCCTACCCTCAGGCAGTCAGCTGCTGGGGCTGGCTTGGCTTTTTTTTTTTCCCTTTTTAAAGGAAGGAAATGTTAAGAAGCTGCTGAAGTCCCGGCAGAAACACTGGAAAGGAAGATGAAGGATATCCAGCCAAATACGTAAGGAAAGGGATAAGGCAGCCTGGGGCGCGCAGCCCTTGCAAGGCGCTAGTCAGGCAGCCTCTGGTGTAAATGCGTGCGCGTGCTGGGGAGAGCTGCGCTGCGCTTGGTGGTGTGGCCGGCTTCTGATGGCGGTCACAAAGTACCAGCGCTTTGCTCCAGGCAGCGGGCCCAGAGTGGGTTTCAGCTGGGCCTCGTCGAGCAACTTAGCTTCCCCCGTCAGAAAGGTGCAATTTCGAGTTCAAGTCAACTGCACGTGTGCACGCAGAGAAAAAGGTGAGGAGACTTACCTGCTGCTTTCAGAAGCGGGCGGTACCCACCGCCTCTGCGTTCTGTCCTTTCCTGTTTGTAAGCCAGGATCTGTTTGGCTGCAGTTCCCTGAATGCTGCTCTTATTATTTTTTAAGTGGTTGGTTCAGGATGTGAGCTGTCGTGCAGGAGGACTGCGACTCCTTCCCGCGTCGTCACGGAAATCACTCCACGAAGCAG